AAATGGACAAAAGAAAAATGTTGGTAAAAAAATGTACAAAGAATGTACTACAGTTATTATGTGAGCAGTTATTATAAATATTACATGGTGTTCAAAATGAAAAAAAAAACGAATATGGGTACGAAGTTGGTTGGATAGAAGGAATTCTCATGGAGTATCAAATTTACTTCTCARAGAATTAGCGGAAGAAGACACTCATGAGTTTACTAACTGTATGAGAATGGATCCAACAACATTTGAAATTTTATTAAATAAAGTACACCAAAAGATACAACGTTCAAACACCATAATGAGAGAAGCMATACCTGCTCGTGTAAAGTTACAAGTTACTTTATCATATTTAGCTACAGGTAACAGTTATCAAAATTTACAACAATCTTTTCGAATTTCAAGAGCAGCTATTTCAAAGTTTATTCCAGAAGTATGCGATGCAATATATGAGGCTTTGGGAGATTTTATAATAATTATCTTAATATATTTTCAATATGTTTATTAACTTTACTCTAACAAACAATATTAACAAAAAAAAACATAACTTTTTGTACATCAAATTAAATCATCTTTGTAAAGGTACCTAGTAATTGTATTGACATATTTTTATTTATACTTGAATAAACAATATTAAAAAAAAACATAAGAACTTTTCATACATAAAACTGAATCATCATTCATTTGAATTTTGAAAATAAAAAACAAACAACCTATTAGGTGAATTACATATTTTGAAAAGTATGCATAATAGTTGTAGATAATATATCACTTTGTACTGAATCCTGTAAAACAACGTTTTGAATTGGCTCATAATTATTAACACTATCAAAAGTACTGATTGATGATGAACTTGATAGTGACGGTGCAGCAGAGCAGTTCATTTCTTTATTAATATTGCGACCAAATTCCYAAATGGAAGAATCAGTTGATCTGATTTCTTGTATTCTKAATTCAGTTAATAAAGACTGAATTTTTTCTTGTGCAATTAATGCATTTATGGGATATAATTTTTCTAATTGAGATGCTATGTGTTTTCCAAAAATTTGAAATTCATTTTCTTGTGGCTSAGTATTGAGAACTTCAGTTAAGTTTTGAAGTTGTTTAACAGTGGAAGAAATTTCTTGYAATTTGGTTTTCTTAAATTTTGGTGTTTTGGGTTGATCTTCTTTAGATTKATTACCTTCTGATAACATACATTCCTGTATCGATTCCTGTGAAGTTTGATTTATAACTGTCAAAGAATCTTGCATAATGTCATCATCATTACCAATATATTGATAAATTTCATCTGTTGACATAGTCCTCTTTGGTGTTATTACCTAAAATAAAATAAAGGTGTTTAAATTATTAATTTTACTTTAATTTCAGGTGCCTAGTACACATGAAGAATGGAAAGTTATCGAAGARGGTTTCAATAAAAGATGGAATTTCCCAGGATGCTATGGTGCTATTGATGGGAAGCACATCAATATTCGTGCCCCTGCAAATTGTGGAAGCTATTATTTCAACTACAAGGGTTATAATAGCGTTGTTCTTATGGAAATTGTTGATGATAATTATTGCTTTAGATATGTTAATGTGGGGTGTAATGGAAGATTTTCAGATGGAGGAGTTTTCCAAAATTGTGAAATATCTAAAGCATTAGAAAATAATCTGTTTCCAAATGGAGGCTTTATAGTAGGAGATGATGCATTTCCTTTAAAACCCTATTTATTAAAACCATACTCTCGGAAACAATTAACATTGTCAGAAAAAATATTTAATTACAGGCTATCTCGTGCAAGACGCATTGTAGAAAATGCTTTTGGCATCTTAGTTGGAAAGTTTCGTGTTTTTGAAAAACCAATTGCTTGTGATGTTTCAACAGTTGACAAAATTATTCTTGCTTGTTGTGCATTACACAATTGGCTAAGAATAACAAATAAAAATTATTTTTAACGAGGGTTAGTAGATGAAGAAAATCTTGATGAGTATAAAATAATTTAAGGTTCTTGGAGGTTTCAATCACACAATGGATTATTACCTATTTCAAATGCTGGAAGTAATCATTCATCACAAATTGCTAGACTGTTGAGAGAAAAATATACTGCATATTTTATGAACGAARGATCTGTGCCTTGGCAAGAAAGAATGATTTTTTGATGTATATTATAAATTATTATTTTGCTTCAGTAACTACATAATAGTATTCAACATATGATAGATTTTTAAACAGGATTATAAAATTAAATTATTTGTATTAATTCCCATATTTATTTTGTTTTACTAATACCTATCACCTATTAATATCTATTAAAGTTTAAATAGCATTTGACGGTGTTTCGCAAATTGTGTTTTGAAAAATGTATTTATCACTGATTATCACAGCTTATCACTGATTCAATTAAAATTAAATATAAAAAATACAATATACTTACATTACTTATTGTACTTCGTTTTTTTTCTGTACTTTGTAAGAAACTTCGCATTATGTTGAACCATAGCCGGTAGCCGTAGTYTTTCGTACAACCACAATTATTTGAACAATGCTTTTAAAGAATTAGTAGTTTTAACAATGTAGGGAGTAGTGTCAGATGAAAATAATAAAATATTGTCGTGTTAAACACCAATAAGTCCTGTATACTTGTCAAACAATTTACTAACTGTYGAATAGTTTGTTTTTTCTGAAAGTTCCAAATATACCAAATATGTTTACCTGGACAATTTACCTCGAGTGTACTGATAATCACGTTAGCAACAAATCTTACTTCAATATCTGTTATCAATACTAACCCATATCTTTTAACCTGACAACTCAAATTTAATTGTATCTATTGTTTCTTCAAAAATGTCATAAATGTATCAAAGTCTTAATGTTGCTTCAGTTGAAACCACAGATATAGATAATTAACTAGATTGCTAGGTTCCCTACACCAACCAAATTTGAAGCCACACATCCGCCATTACTAGTAGGTTATTTGTATATTATCACGTTATAATTTTGATAACACTATTTATTACTGATTGCGATTGGACTTATATTGTTATATTATTATTTGTTAATAATACTCGGCTATATTTAATAGAACAGTTTCTCAACTAAGTATTAGGTCTATAGGTATTTTGGCAAATTAAAACAATATTACATAATGTAAAAAAATAAATACTTTTAAATGTTGTAAAATAAATTTGTTTTATGAAGCTTTTGTCTTTTACTAGCCACCTTCATTATTGAAGAATTTAATATCTTGCTATATGAGTGTAATCTTATATTTAAATATGTGTGTGTAATGAGGTTGATTAATTTAATTTTGTGAGGTCTTACATATATGTCTGTTTCATACCAACAATCTATCATTTCAGAAAAAAAGAGTTGAAGATAATGCCAATGTATTTTGAACCCGGAGGATTACTTTAGTATCTATATTTTTAGACAACAATTTCTGTTTATCAGAAACTACAGACTTAAAATATGTTTCAGTGATTTTGATAACTCTGAAAACACTTTCCGATGCTAATTCTAAGCMTCCTCTGTTCTTCATTCTTGTGAGAGCTTTGAATGATTCATTCTCTGTGTTACAGTGTGTATGATCTTTCTTATATGAATCATCTGTCACACCTTTGATGCATTTTTCACAAGTGAGTTCAGGTAATATTTTTTTTATTACTTATCCTGCTATATAGTTAAGCACATTGTCTGTCAATGAACTTAACACATTGGATTGTTGCAGTTGACAGATATTAATTGTACCTGTTCCTTATTTTCTAGTACATGTTTGTTTATTTTATATTTCTATTTTAATGAAAGCAAAGAATCTTCATGATAAGTTAATAAAGAACAATTGCCTGTTAATTGTTTGATTAAAATATGSAGTAAAATACTTCTCAATGCATACTTAAACTGTAGACAGTTAGGATTATCATTATGTCCAAGACGTCCTCTTATATGACCAAAAAACAACTCAATAGCATCTTGACTTAATTTGTAAGTTAAAATATATAGAAAACTATGATTGGCAAGTAATTTCTTAGATATTTCAAGTATTGATTTTATAGCAGTTGCGAAACCAAGAATAAATGTTTTTCTACGACTTTTTTATAAATCCACTCCATCAACAGTTTTTAAAGAGTATAAATACTTRATTAACTGAGTCATTTGATTTTCCAGGTAAACAATGTTGTTAGCTCTAATAGGTTGTTTATGTCCTTTTGCAAATGGATTTCTTGAGTTAAGAAAATCAAAAATTTCATCAACAACACGTATACATTTAATTGTTGGGTCGCAATTTTTAAAATTATCTGATGTATTCAGATACTGCAGTGAATCAGCTACGGAACTGCTCAAAGTTTGTACTGCCAACTTCACCTTCATGAACTGATGATTTTACTATTTATCCACAAACCAATAACCTATTGGCCATTTCCACGATTTCTTTAGTTTTGATAACATAAATACCAAAACTTCAGATGATGGTTATTCACAGTCTTCAATTGTTAAATTATTACCATAATCACAATATCCAACATATCTACCCATCAGGTAATAAGCACAATTAGTATTTCAAAATTTCAAATATATTATAAAGTAATAATGAATACCGGTTAGTAACTTTATCCCAATGTACTTCTTTCTTTATGCTCATTGAGTCTAATATCAAGTAACAGCATTTATCAACATCTTCAAATTTATCTATTTCCATAAACACATCACTTAGAAATCCAGTATTTACATTTACATTTCTAATTGGACTTAGATTCGGCAAATRTATTGAAGACCTGAACATCTTTTTTATTTTGGAAATGTGAAATTGAAATTAATTTTGTAGAATAATATTTAGTATAGCATCACTTATTAGTTATTACCTTACAAAATCATATGTTTTAGATGAATAAAAGTAAAGTGTAGTAGCAAATATTTTGACATCCTCACTGTATCGTTTTCCCGAAGGTGAAACCTTACTGTTCCTAACCAGATCTTCTAGGAAAACACTTGTAAAATGTTTACCTATTATGTGTGTTGTCTCA